ATAAGACCTAAAACAACAGAACAGATCTAGTAAAGCTAAACTTAATATAAGATGGAATTTTGGAAAGAGCATGGGGTTTTGCAGTCAGGTGGAAGCCAGATCTGCATCTGCCTAGCTGTGTGACTTTGGGCAAGGTTTCTGATTGTCAGTTTTCTTATCTGTGAAAGGGGGACGATGATACCCAACTCAGAGGGTGACCGTGGAAACTGAGTTAATAAGTATAAAACATCTTGCCAAGTTCCTGATATAAGTTGAACAATGGTTTAATCATTGATAACTACTATCCTCTCTCATTTTCTAAAAGAATTCTAAGAAAGATATTACCAAAACTGGGGGGAGCCAGGATCAATGACCTCAGAAATACCTTCGGCTGCCCTTGTGTAAAAGAAGGGTGACAGCATCCCCAAGTGAAGAATGGTGAGGAATTTAAACTACCAGATGAGTCACACTTGTTTTTCAGATGAGCCTGCACCCTACCCCTCCCCCCACAACAACCTTCTAATGGTTTCATGTTTGTTTATTTTTAATCTCTCTCAAAAAGGTTATAAGGCAGAGGCAAAATCCTATCATTTTATGCCCTTCCTCTAGCCTCCCACCATATTAAACAGGATAATGGACACCCGCTAAAGATACTCCATAAGCACCTGCACTGAGTAAATCAACAGGATGTATAAGCACCAAGGGAGGAACAGAGCTAAAAATGACAGTGTTCACACCTTACTATTTTTTCTTCAATATATTTATAGTCGTTAAATATTCTTATGTAGAGATCCAGAACTGTGGCTTCAAGAAGCAGTGTGGAATGAGTAAAACATAATAGAGTGAGGGGTGCAGAATTTTAGTCTCAGCTCTGCCACTAAACAGCTATACAGCATCCAGGAAAAAAAATTACTCAGTTGCTCTGGCACTGAGTTTCCTCACAGGTAAAATAAGACAGACTAGATAATCTTTAAAATCCTTCTTGGTTCCATTCTAAGTGTCTATGGGTAAAAAAATTCAAGAATTATTTGTTAGAGAATCCAATTAAATAAGAATAAGAGATAACTATATAAAGAACTAAAATAGATGAAACCTAAATAAAAGTTTTTCATTTGTTATGATAAATATATACCCTTATAAAAGAGTAAAATTGAACCAATCTTCAGTCATTTTAATTATAAAGCAGTCCAGCCTAGGCAAGAAAGTCTATTCTTTGTCAGTGGCATAAAGAACAATATTCTTGTTATCTCTACATTTGTAAATTACTCCTGCACACAATTTTAATATCTGGAACATTTTGCTAATATGTACCGACTCATTTAGCTTAGCCTCTACATGAAGTGAATACAACACAAATATGACAGGAGGAAAAAAAGGGCAAAAGCTGTGTAATAATCTGAAAACCAACAGATCTGTTTTTGCATATTCCAATAACCTTTCTTTATAAATATTAAAATTTAGCAGTTCTTTGCTATTCTATATATTTGAATCTAATCTCAATACACAAGACATTGCAATAAGTTTTCATATGAAATGAAATGATTCAAATGAAAGATAGTAAAATTGCATTATGTTTTAGGGTGGCAGTGATATTGCTGGGGATGGGGGTGGGGGGGGGTGATACTGACCTGATTAACTGGCAGTCACACTTTAGTCCTCAAGTATAAACTCTCAAAGTTTTTCTTCAGTTAAAAATTGGGAAAACTGACAAATATATTTAAAATGCCATTAGCATGGTGAAAAAGTGTCCAATGTTGCAAAATAATAAGAATTATTGCCTATGTGACCATGCCATAAACAATTTCTAAATCCCATGCATGTCCACTGTCATTATAGCTGATGAGGCCTGACAGCTGTAGGTTGATTAGAACAAGAAAGAAAATAGCCACTTCAAGTTGAAGCTGAGTAATATAGGAGGAAAAAACAGGCATCTGACTTCCCTTTTGCAATTATAATTAGGGAAGGGGAGGGCTTTCAAAATCTTTTTTACTTTAAGATGTCCATTGCCATTTCAAGGACTAACTTATGAAAGCGCCTAGAAAAGACTGCCTTTCTCCCCTGAACTGACAAAACCCTATTTGCTTGAATCACCATGATTTATGCACCATGGACTTGGACAAATAACATAAGTACAACTGGAATTTTCAAACTGCCAAATTCCTGTGAGGAAAATTCTCAGCCCCTCACCTCCTGCTAATCAATAAACAGATAAATCAACCTGTCACCATTTCGACTTTGTCTGTAAGGCTGATTATTCATCCCCAGCCTCTACTTTTTCCCATTTATTTTCAAATAGTAAATGTGGAATTATATGCACAATTTTTGTTTATGTTGCCCTGGCAGTATATTAGACACAGCAAACTTAAACCTGACAGTCAAATGGGGAGAATGTTAAAGGAGGAATCATGCAGTAATAAATGCTGTGTCATTCAACCAAGACCCAGTCATTAACCTAATTATGAATCTCTCCACTCAGGAGAGGAAGCGTGAGTGTTGCGCAGTCGGTAACTCGAGAGCAGCCATCACACAGGCAAACCACTAAATAAGCCCCTCCAGCAATTTCTGCCCAATATACAAATTATGTGGCCTCAGATTTTCAGGAAAAAGCCATTTCTAATTCCATATTCATTATCAGAAATATGACTGCCAGATTTTCGGCATGCCACAGTGCAGTCTACACACACACATTCTCTGCTCATTTTCTAAATGAGCTGTTATTTGTCACTGTCATCATCCATTAAGTAACTTTGAAAGACAAGATCATTTCAACCAGATGCTCAGCTCATTCCTTCCATTAGAATCCGAGACCCAGCTTTCCCTTTCCTTAGAGTTTAGACACAGACATTTCTGTCTAAAGAATACTACAGTCTATAAATTTGAAATAAAGACCACTTGCGGACAAGTTGTCTGGATAGATTATCAGACACTTGTGGTACAGCTAGCTGTAGCTATATTAAGCGTCACAGTTTTCTCAATTAAAAAAATACATGTAGGGCCGGCCAAGTGGCTCAGCTGATTAAGAGCGCGAGTTCTGAGCAACAGGGTCACCAGTTCGATTCCCACATGAGCCAGTGAGCTGCGCCCAAGCTGAGCGGCTGCTGAGCTGCCAACAGGTGGCAGGATGGCTCAGCTGGTGAGAGCACGTGCTCCTAACAAGGTTGCCAGTTCAACTCCTGCATGGGATGGTGGCTACGCCTGCCCGCAACTAAGACTGAACACGGCACCTTGAGCTGAGCGGCCACGAGCTGTCGATGGGCAGCCAGATGGCGACTGGACTTGGAGCTGACCTAGTTGCGCCCTCCACAACTAAGACTGAAAGACAACAACTTGGCTGTTCCCCTTCCCCAATTCCCCAACACTGTTCCCCTTCCCCAATAAAAATCTTTAAAAAAACAACAACATGTAAATATATAATAAAAAAGACAAAGTTATACATATTTTAATATCCTAGAAATTAGTGTATTTATTATTTATTTATAAGTTACCCATAAGTGATTTCACACATGAGCTTGCCCAGCATTCCATCTGGTCTATTCACTTGCGACTTCCCACCAAGTCAGGGCCAATAGCCAGGAGGGCACAAGTCTCTTCCCCATGAACTTCCATGTGCCAACAGTCACAGGTGTTATAGGTATTAAGAAAGCTGCCCCTCTGCTCCCCAGAACCTCCTACACAGCAGTGCTGACTGGCCATGGAGCAGGTCGCTGTGGCTTGGGCTGTTCCCTTTATTCTGACCTTTCCCCTTCTCTGGACAATACCCAGGGCTCCACTCATTCTGGTTGTGCCTCTTCCTTCTTGAGGAAGTCCCAGCTTTTGCTCTGGAACTCTGAATCAATTCAATGGGAAGCAGGCTTTGGTGCCTTTTTGCCATATAGAGACTGGGTGGCAAGAAAGCAACACCCAAACAGCTTCTATAGCTATGTAAGCAGCAGGGTAGGGCAGGGTGGAGTACAAATATGTCTGTCTATCTAGTATCTGGGTGTGTGTATGTCTTTGCATGGAACTGAAGGCTTTATTTCACGGTGGTGGGTGATATGGAACACAAAAGAGGGAAAAGAACATTTTTTGATAAATCCTAGGTATTTCCTGACATGGATTTTCCTCAAAAAATTTTACAAGATCTATTTTTTTAAAAAAATCAATGAGGCTAGTATAAAAAACAAACCAGTTGTTTTACCCAGATCACTCTTGCAAAATTGGATAAAAATTACTTCTTTTATTATATGCTCAGATAGCAAATTTAAGAAATTTATACTTTGGCTACAACTGACAGATTCAGGCCATTCTAGTATTAGTGATAAGATAGGAGCAAAGATACAAAGCAAATTTGCTCCAATTATGTAAAGAAAATATATCTTTCACAAACATATAAGCAAACTCAAAATGTAGGAGGCCATTTAATTCTTAAAATTCAAAGAGCCAACACTAACATACAAAACGAGTGTTTTTGACAGCTTTCCACTAGATAATTTGCTTCCTTAAAAACCCAGTATATATGAAATTAGAAAAATGTGTCACTTTTACAAATACTAAATTTAAATATGGACAAAAATGTACTGCTGTTTTAAAAATAGATCCAAAACAGCCTCCATTTTGGGCTGGAAGGTGTTGACGCGTTGTTACCTTGACTATCTCGAAAGATTTAAGTTTCCCCACCCTCTTGCAATTCTGGGTTTTCAGAGGGTTGGTTATTTATGTATTTGCGGGTAAGAGAGTGACAACATCACAAACTGTACCTCTCATTCCACTTTTGGATTTTAGGATTAGGCTAGGGAAGAAACACATGTCAAAGTGCCAGCAGAAAATAATTTTCTGATCACGAAAACAGATCTTTTGTACATTTACTAAAGGGAGCTGTTTTTACTATTATTATTTACAAAGGTTCTAAAACCAAGGTATAAAAATGAATCTCATTTTACCGAATTCTATAGTACTAAGCAATACAAGCTTTACTACAAATGTCAAATAATCTTCTTTTAGTTGAAGGTAAAAGATATTACTGGACTATTTGGATCCTATGTGTCTCTTGTGTTATTACGTGTGTTATAGGCTGAACTGTGTCCCATCCGCAAATCCGCAGGTTGAAGTCCTCACCCCCAGTACCTCAGAATGTGACTGCATTTGGAAACAGGGTCTTTAAAGAGGTGAGTAAATTAAAACGAGGACATTAGGGTGGGTCCTAATCTAATCTGACTGGTGTCCTGTATTAAGAGGAAATTTGGACACAAACTCAGGCCAAGAAAAGACCGTGTGAAGACCCAGGGAGAAGATGGCCATCTTTTTTTTTTTTTTTTTTTTCCTTTCTTTTAGCTGAGCCATCCTGCCACCTGTTGGCAGATGGCCATCTTTTGTAGAAGCCAAAGAGAGGCCTCAGAAGAAACTAATTCTGAGGACAGGTTGATTTTGGACTTCTAGCCTCCAGGACTGTGAGGAAAAAAAATTATTATTATCTTTTAAAGATTTTATTGGGGAATTGGGGGAGGGAAACAGCATTGGGGAATCACGGAAGGGGAAGAGACAAGTTGCTTTACTAGCCCATGTTGGTATTATCATTGCGTTCTTCCCAGGTAAGGCAGTCGCTCACTGGCCATTGGACAGCCACTCACGGCAGCTCACGAAAGCTCATGACCGTTGCCGGCCAGCCCCACAGCAGCCTACGCCGTCGCCGGTGACTCACGGCAGCCCAGCTCCAGGTCGAGCTGTTGTTCACCATCGTAGCTGTAGAGGGCAGTGTCACTGGCCCTCATGTGGGATTTGAACCGGGGCCCTGCTGCTCAGAGCTGGTGTCCCAAGCCAATTCTTAACTAACGCGCCACTTGGCCGGCCCTTATTTATTTATTTACTTTTTTTTTTTTTTGAGAAAATTAATTTCTTTTGTTTAAGCCACCTGGTTTGTGGTACTTTGTTATGGCAGCCTGAGCAAACTAGTACAACATGCTAACCATTTACAACTTTTAAAGATGATTAGAGCCACTAGATCTAAGCTTTCCCATTACCATTTCTCAGAAGGCCTTGTAGCAGTCTTTTCCCAGCCACACTATAGACAGCATTATATAAAACAGAATGGTTCTGAAACAGTTTTAGAGACTGTAAATTTCAGGACCCTGAAATATAATATGAATAGAATACTTATAAAGAAATTACAACAGTGCTAAGGGATCGAGATACTTGTTTATCCAGTACTGTCAATACCGACTTTGAAGTAGGCCTCAAGAAACCAGGTCTGTAATAAAGCTAATGCTCTTTAAGGTCAACTCTAATACTCTTCAAGGTCAACATTAAAAATACTTTCAGTCCTCTATTCAAATACACAGTACTGTACTCTATTCAAATCAGATTCTAGGATACTAGATTTTCTTTATGCTTAGTGCAGAATTAATAATAACAGAGCTGGCTGAGTGACACATTAGTTAAGAGCTGGCTTGGTACATGAGCTCTGAGCAGCAGGGCCCCGGTTCGGACCCCACATGAGGGCCAGTGACACTGCCCTCTACAGCTAAGATGGTGAACAACAGCTCGACCTGGAGCTGGGCTGCTGTGAGCCGCCATCCAACGGCTGGCAAGCAACTGCCTCAGCCAAGAAGATCGCAACGATAATACCAACATGAGCCAGTGAAGCAATGTCCTCCACAACCAGATTGAAGAACAAAAGGACAGCAACTTGTCTGTTCCCCTTCCCCAACTCCCCAATGCTGTTCCCCTCCCCCAAGTCCCCAATAAAATCTTAAAAAAAAAAAATTAATGACATAACTGAGTTCATCAACGTTAATCATCACCACCTCAGTTTTATAGCAGTTTTCTAAGAATTCAAGCAATGTAAATTCAAGTAATAATGACAAAGATATGTTTATTGAGATAAACATTAATGTGTTCCAGGCACTGTTCTAAGTACTTCACATGAATTAATTCAATCCTCACAACCACCTTAGGTGACAGATGCTATAACCATCACCAACAGATTCTTTATCTTTATCATCATCATCATCATCCCCATTTTACAGATGGGAAAGTTGAGGCTCAGAGGCTATAACTTGCTCAGAGTCTCACATCTGGTATGTGGCAGACATGGGATCTGAACCTATGTAATTTGATTCCAGAAACTTCCTTCCTAACTCCTGCTACTTGGTAACCACTATTCACATCTGATCTCATTTTATCAGCCTTAGGAATTGTGTGGTAGAAAAACCTCAGCTAAAATGTGATTTACAAAGCTGGGAGGGGCCTCAGAAATAATGTAATTCAGCACTCTCATTTTAGAGGTGAAAATTGAGGCCAGAATTAAGTGAATTACTGAAGATTACAGTTAAATAATAAAACAAGGTCTAACACTCATGTCGTTTTGAGATCTAGTCTAACCCACTTTCTGGGACACCATGATGGGTATTGGGTTTCTGCTTTGTTTAGCCGTTTTAAGACTCAAAAAAAATAAATGCATCTCGGAGTGTGTGAGTGTGTGAGTGTGTGAGTGTGTGTGTGTGTGTGTGTCTCTTTCTCTCACTCTGTTTTTCCCATTGTCTTTATGTTGCCAACAGGATTTATATGTATATTGAGGAAAAGGAGGAAGTGGCCTCATACCCATAAATAAACATTCAAACATCTCTACCCCAAAGTGAGGACATTTAGCACAACGCTATTAAAAACAGGTCTGTCTACCTGGATATCTGTTTACACCCTTTCAAGTACTCTCATCTGAGACAAGACCAAACCAGAACCACATTAGGTAAGCTACTGGAATGCATGTTAATAAAAATGAATAATAGTTTTTATGATGGTAATAAATTCTTTTTCATTAAGATAAAAAAAAAAAGGTATGTCTTTTAACATCAGGAAATTACCAGAAGTATGAACCATTTCAAGTATCTATGTCAATTGGCTTTATTTAGTTTAAATTTTTACATGATTTCATTGAAATATGTGTATCTGTCTATGTAATCTATCTGTCCATCACTCCCCTAAAGTTTTGCTTTTCTGAAATAATGCCACCATGATTTGTAAAATACCACAAGGGAACAATAACATGTAGACTGATTTTATTCCCAGTGAAATGATTCATGCACCACAAGTGTAGAAGCAGCCTGGACTACAAAACCCTTCAAATGTTAATGTACGATGAAGTCTTCGAATCCATCTGAATTCCAAACTGGGAAGAAACAAAGTGTTTCGTGTGGAAGATGAACCACGAAACATCAAGGTATCTATGTTTTAGCTCTGCCCACAACCTGACCCTCCCTGAACTGCAAAAAATTTCACAAAAGGCTCTAACAGAAATATGATAACTGATGATGTTTTGCCTTTTAAATTTTGTCTTCTAAACCAGGTCACCAATTAAAAAAAAAAAAGTTTAACAATTTGGCATCAGTTGGAAATGACCCACAACAGACCAGAGCAATTGTTTTTGCTCCAAGGTCCTTCTGGGACAATAATTCTCCCGGGAGGCAGTGTGTTGTAGTGGAAAATGCCCGAGGCCAACCGACCTGGCTCAGCCACCTCAGGGTTCCCTGATCCACTTAATCTTTTAAGTTCTTCATCTGTAAAATCGGGATAAGAACACATACTCTAACAGGATACTGAAGGGCTCAAATGAGTTGGTGACTGCCCAATTCTCTCATGTCCCATCCCTGGACAGCATATATTTGGTTTCATCTGCAAAGATAATGAAGTTTTCCTTTTTCCAATGAGTCCTCATTTTCTATCATTCACGTGTCTAATTCAGAAATCAAAACAAGTTTGCTCCAGGTCGGCCGAGTGGAGCGTTGGTTAAGAGCTAGCTTGGGACACCAGCTCTGAGAAGCAGGGCCCAGGTTCGGATCCCACATTAGGGCTAGTGACGCTGCGCCCTCTACAGCTAAGATGGTGAACAACAGCTCGACCTGGAGCTGGGCTGCGGTTGAGTCGCGGGCTAAGGCGAAGGCATAGGCTGCAGTGGAGCTGCAGTGGGTGCCATAAGCTACCGTGAGTGGCTGGCAGCCAGTGTGAGCTGCCAAGAGCCACTGTGAGTGGCCATCCACTGGTCGGCGACCTATCTGCCTCACCGGGGAAGAGTGCAATAATACCAGCATGAGCCAGTGAAGCGACGTCCTCCACAACTAGACTGAAGAACAAAAGGACAGCAACTTGTCTTTTCCCCTTGCCCGATTCCCCAATAAAATTAAAAACAAAAAACAAACAAGTTTGCTCCTTCTGACTTGACACCTCCAAGGAGGGGATGGCCTGGCCAGTTGCTGGGAAAGCTGGCTTAGGGGACAATGCACAACACTTGTTCAGGCGGTGGTATCTGCACACACACTACTTGGGAAAAGAAAGAACATTCTTTTACCCAGACTAGCTTTTTGTGACTTTAGCAATAGGAGGAAAGCGTGCCTTCGCTTCCATTGAATTTTTACAGCTTTTAATCAAGTCACAATTTTAACTTGCAACGACTGAGAAATGAGTTTTCTAAAAATATCACAGCTTTTTTTTTACATTATGCTACATACGTAAATAGGTATGCATCTACTTGTATATTCATAACCCGGGAGCAGTTATCACATCCTATTACATCAATTCATCTGTTTACATATTTGTCTTCTGTCTCACATGACTGCTGGTCTAGACAAATGCTAAATACTGTCTTATTCACCTTGATTAAACTCAGCACCTAGCAGTCTCCGGTTCAACAGGGGTACTCAAAGAATGCTGGTTGGAAAGAAACACACAGTCCAGTATCTTGAATTACAGCCAACAAAACTGAACTTTATCTTTTAGGAAATGAGACGCCACTAAACATTCTTAACCAGGTGACTGTCATAATGAAAGCTTGGTGTTTGAAAGGTTCAGCCTTGAGGTATACGCTTGAATTTGACCTGGAAGCCGAAAAGAGCAGTTGGGAGAAAACTTTCAGAGTATAGGTATGAGACAAAAATGTGTGAGCTAGGATGGTGGCAGTAAGAATGCAAAAGAAATGACTGGTGCAAGAGGGCTGTATTAAGAATTTACAGTAACTTGGTACTGGTTCCACTTAAGCAGGCAAGAGGGGAAAGAATCCCTGATCAGCTGAGGTTTTCAGACGGGGTGACTAAAGAGATGATGCCATTAACAGGAAAAGGGATGTCAGAAAAGGAACTGGTTTTAGGGGGGAAATGATGACTGTGATGTGCTGAACGAGAAGTAATTAGACCCCCAAGAGGAACGTGGTGAGAGCCAGTGCTGTGAAGGCTAAAGGTTTACACGTGGAGAAGTCTTCAGAGGTAGAGCCTTTTCAGAAAACCTCGGTGCCTTTAATTTAAGAACAAAAGGCAATAGGAGAGGCTGATGCACAGAAGTAGACCAGATCATTTTTGTACCCTTAAATATTACACCAGTTAACCACCAGACTGGTACTGTTCTTACTCCTCTAAGACCTGTTGTATGAGAAAGAACTGCTTAGCAGGAACCAAGGAGTAGGGCACCTTTCCCACAAAAAACACAAAGTTAGTGCTTCTCTCTTTTTCCTACAGCTTACCTGTCAGTTATTCTCTCCTTTATAACGCATAGCAACAATTCACCCCACCCCCACCCCCTCTTCTCCCCTCTATTCTCCCTCCTCCCTGGCCCTCACCTTCTAAGGAGAGCAGACCCAGCACACTCGGCCCAGCCTTCCTCAGCAGCTTTTGCACAAAGGATCAATGCTGAGGCTCCCAAAGTTCAAGGTCAGAAGTCCTTTTTGTCTGTAAACCCCACATCCTGTGCTCTCCCATTTTCCTTTCTAGTTTCTATTGAACTCGGTAATGATTAAGGATTATAGTGTTTAACCTCAGTAACAATAGTAATAACAATTAAGGATTACAATCTTTGTGGCTCCAGAAGTCAGAAAGGATTCTGTTTAGCAGCAAAGGACCTGGTTAGATTGGGAGTTCTATCCCTGAAACACAGAGCTAGGAAACACTTGGCAGGGGGAACCATCTTACTGCATTCTTTACATCAACGCCTGTTTCCCTCCCCCACCTCCACTCTCACCTCCCCCATCGGTGGTTTCTTCTCACCGGTTTTCATCCTTCCTATGAATGCTCCTCATTTTTGGGGGGTCGTGGGGGGAGTTGTCTTCAAAAGGCAAAAACCACTTTTAATCAAAGTTATCACTGAAAAGCCCGTAAATCTCACAGGAGGGACAGTATCACAGTATCCACCAAACCATTTATATGACTCTCAGGATAGAGGTACTTAAGAGTAGAGTCTAGAATGGAACAATGGGCAATTCAGAGAGACGACATCAGATGGCTGAATCCCTTTGCCTGTCTTATTTCCCGGCCAAAAATTTCAAGAGATAATTTACATGACACAATTATGAAACACACACTATAAGACAGACACACACTCTCCTAAAAACCCCCGAATCAGATGTCTGAGCTCATGACAGATACAAGCTTTGTTTCACTCTATTTAGAAATCTTAGCTGTATATTGAAAAATTTAAAACAAAATCAACCAATAACTAAAATCAGACACTAATTCATCACCTTTGCTGAAATGCTCAAGAAGTAAAAATGTTTAATGTTAAATTGTTTAGCACACATGCAAAGTATTAATAATAACGACAATAATACCTACCAATTATTGAGTACTTCCTACATGTTAGGTACCTTGCTTTGTAATCCTTAAAAAAAATTCTAGAAGTTATTCCTATTTCACAGCAGAGGAAACTGGGATGTGGTGAAGACAGAAAACTACTCTCATTCTTGCTCACAGTGAGAGTAGCAGCATTGCGATTTGAACCCAAATTTGCCTTAAAATCTGCACTGTAAATTACCACACTCTATAGCCTCACGATAAATACGTCATTTTCTCACTGAAATGCTTTGAACTGAAACTTGGAAGACTTGATTTTTAGTTTTAGCAAACATTCAGGAAATGGGGGGGGGGCCTTTAGAAACAGGCTGACAAGCCATTCCTGGGGTCAAACACCACAGACAGGATAAATTTCCTCTAGAAAGAAATCTGTTTCTTGTCTCATGCCACCAAACACCAATTCAATGATGACCTCCAAAAACACCATTCTGCTCCACTCAGAAAAACCAAGAATTCCAATCCAGTTCTGCAAGTTCACTGGGAGCACTGCACCCAGCGCTGCCAAGACATAAACCCACTGTGGACGGATGAGTCCATTCAGGGACCCACTGCTATATGTGCTCCTGTTCACGCATTTACTCTAACTTCTTGAGAGCAGCACAAAATCAACTACAAATCCATTAACAAAACCCTAGAGTGGATCGGTAACTTCTCAAAACCAAACACTCAGAAACCATTCTTAAACAAAACCCAGCAATCAGTTCCTAGTATGCTCTCCTAAATGGACTTCATTCCTCTCTGGTCAGTCTTAGGAAAATAAAATCCTAAAATGACTAGGGCTGATTACATCAATAAATCTGATTCAGATTTCATTACAGCAAGATTATATATCTAACCAGCAGACATTTTCTTATAGAAAATTCAATATTTCAGAATTACTTAAGATACTGTAGTTTCGTGAGTCATCAGACAGGGAAAATAAAAATTAAGACAAAAAGTGGATTGTTCATACTAACAAGATGTGCCATATCTTATCAGTACATTATCTTTCTAGACTAAGGTGATAGCTTTAAACTGAGTTCAGCAAATATTCATTAAATCAAACTATATATACCAGGCACTGTGAAAGACACGAAGATTTTTTAAAAAGAAAAAACAAAACCATACTACCTGCTCTCAAAGAATTTATAATTTAATGAGATAGACTAGACATATATATATAAAAATCCTCTGCATGCGATGCTTTTCTTCATCTAATATGACCAAATAGGTGTTGAAAAAGTTAGAGAAAAGATTTCCAAGACCCTGGGGCAGCCGGTTAACTCAGGTGGTTAGAGCGCAGTGCTCATAACACCAAGATTGCCGGTTCGATTCCCACATGGGCCGAGATGCATCTTCCACAACTAGATTGAAGACAATTACTTGATTTGGAGCTGATGGGTCCTGGAAAAACACACTGTTCCCAATAAAAAAAAAAATAAAAATAAAAGATTTCTAAGACACAAACGTGTATCGAACAGGTCTTTATTGTGCCAAATAATCAAAGAGCATGACTTGCTTTTTCACTGTTCATTAAGGCCCTGGCAATGACCACTACTTTGGTCTCCTTGGTCTCTTACCTTAGTTTATTTTCTGTTCTCTGCTCATGTAATAAGATATATCTTTTTGGGATTTCCTGTTCTGCCTTTAGTTTTTCCTGCTGCTCTTGCAGGGAAAAGCGTCTTAGCCTCCTACTGCAGTGCACTTTGTGTTTGCTGGAGGGACCCTCGGCACAGTTTCTCCTTTGTGCTGTTTTAATGGAGATCTGGAAACAATCACTGAGCAGATCTGTGAGCACCGAGAGTGGCTCTGAAAACTTTGAGCCTGGGTATTCAAAAATAATTACCTTCAGGAAGTCTACATTCAGAAATTTTCATCAGGAAGGCGAAAAACAGCCATTATCATCACCTTCTCTGAGTCCAACTCCTTGCATCTCATTGTTATTAGCTTTAGCTATAGAAAACAGTAGTAAGATGGACTACAGATAGAAAGCAAAAGAAATAAGCTAAAAAAATGTGGCAAATTTTAATAAATGCAAGTGCTAGCAATAGATGATTACTGAGGATTCAACGGCATTAACGTTCGGCCCAAATCATCAATATTTTGCACCTGCTGAAATGAAGGCCAGTTTGACAAGCCTTATGAGAGCACCACAGAGATACTTTTGGTAGTTACAACACGCGTGAATAGCTAAAGTTAACTTTGTTTTTATTTATCCTTCTCTCTGAGATTTAAAATGTGTTCTTACTTTTCATCCCCCAAACTTTGGTGGGTAACCCTGTTCTTGTAAAACCAATCTGTAACACCATGTATGTATCAGTTCCTCCTGGAGGGAAACACCCGCCATAAAAAGGGGGGCTAGAGAGTAACTAAAGGCCACAGGACCCGATTAATCATAAACCTAGAGGACAGATCCTGAATTTTCTTCAGACACTTCCTGCCTTGTTTCAACCGAACTATATACCTCCAAGGTTAACAACCGAACTATATACCTTCAAGGTTAACTGCAGTCTCCCTGAGCAACGGACCAGCCCACCCTAGACTCATTCCTAATCTAATGCTCTTTATTTACTCATCAATACTGTTTGATTTGAAAGTATGCTGTTATTCACTGACAGTCAATACACACTGCACTCCTCCCCACACAAGGCCAACTCTGGGGATGGCCAACACACCCACTTCACTGTGAAACATCAAGGATGGTTTTTCATCAAGTTCTCAGGGAAGAAATAAGGTGGAAAGCAAAAATGAAACACAACTCAAACCTGAAAAACCCTTAGAAGTCGGGTTCTCCCTGAAAGAACAGAGTAGAGGGAAGGTACAAAGGGGGGCGTGGGGATGGGGAGTTACTATTTCTCCTTCCTCCAGAGTCTAAAAAAAAAAAAAAAAGCCCCGCAGCAGGTGGGCTCTCGACCCCCACAGGAGGACAGAGGATCTGAGGGGTTTCGGGAGGAAGGCTGAGGACCAGAGCATGGGGGATGGGAAGAACTGACGTGGGGGAAGGCCGCCTGGTCTGTGGAGCTGGCAGCCTGGATCGGGTCTTTGATTTTTGCTTTGCTCCATCACTCTTTTTTTGGAAAACACTGATTTTTATCTTATGGAAGAAACCAGCTCTGGTGCCACCTTAGCGAGCAGGGGCAGGTGTTGGAAGGGATGTCTGGCCTCCCCGGGGGACAAAATGGGGTGGGAGCGGCAGCCTAAAGAATGGGAACCTGTGCGCCCTCCCCCAAGGTTGGGGCGCTGGGCGGGGGTGTGTCTTTAAATCAGACATGTCAGGAGGGGAGCCCCTTCAATGGAGCTGGATTGATGAGGGATAATAAGTAGCTGCAAGGAGCCTCGAAGGATGAGGAGCCGCCTCCACGGGGAATACCGGGAGGTGGAAGAGACGGCCCCGCCCCCTCCGGGGATGGACGCGAATGGCAGTTGGGACGGTGGCGGGAGGACACTGATGGTCCTACCCTTAGTTTTCTCTTGAGAACACGGCCTCCCAGCCACCGCCAAGCCCCAGCCCTAGCGGCTCCTACCTTTCCCCGGCGCTCCGGGCTCCGCTCCCCACCGCCTCCGCGAACCCGCTCCCATCCACAGTTTCCCGAGTCCCCGCCCCTCAACCACCAGGCGGGGGCACTGGCATTCGCCAGGGCCAATCGCCACCTCGCCTCTCCAGCCCCGGCACCAATTCGCGCCGGCTGGAGGCGGGGCTTCTCCAATGTCATTGAGGCTCCTCCCGGGGCCCCAAGATCCCTTTTGTTTGGGGAGAGCCAAGCTGGGATTGAGCTCGCGTCACTTCCGGGAGGAAGCATCCCCCTCCGGCCTGATCTTGGCGTTTGGCTCGCGCCCCTCCCCGCCCGGCTTCTGCAACTTTCCATCCTCTGTGTGGTTTCCGGGCAGGACCGGGCGAGTGCTTCGTGCCTTAACCCTCCTGGTCTAGGAAGCTTAGGAATGGCGGGTGCCCTGATCGATTGGGCCACATTAACGTTTAAAGTGCGCTTAGTGTCTGCTTTAGAATTTGTTGAAAACCTGGTAACGTCTTTCCTGCTTTCTCCTTTTTTCTTGGACGAGCTTGTGGGTGTGGTGCTAGAAGCAAGGGCGCAAAGATGAAAAACCCGGAGACCCCCGCCCTTTCTCTTTTCACGTTACATTTAGAAGAGCATACTTGCTCTGGAGCCCCTGGGGAGGGAACACCGGCTAGCACCAGGGAGAGTATAAACCGAGTCTGACTTGCTTCACAGGTGGAAGTCGAATGAGTAATTGCAAATTTGAGCATCAAGGTTTTCCACGCTATGCTTGTCAGACGAGGGGACTTTTTTGTGCCCTTCACACCCTTATACTGTGGGCAATGGCGTTTGCAGTGAAGCTGGAACAAAGGACAGTGTAGAGGATCCAAGGAGTGTCTGTCCCTTCTTATGAACGCAGGGACGAAGATCTTGCTGGTGGCTGGAAGCCCTATCAGGACCAAAGAGGGGAGAGGATATACATCCCTACCTGAGGTCAAGGTTTCAGGATTCCTTTTCAGTTCACAGACTGATTCAAAAGATTAACAACCACATTATTTTAAATACGATACAATAAATGCTTATAATACAATTGAATATTGATAATGCATAAATAGTGTACTAACTTTAATAATGTACTAATCTTAACAATTATTAAACAAAACCGGGGCTTAATGTTCACCTAGGCAGATATAATCTTCAAGACAGATGCAGCCCTGCCCTCATTCAATTTACAGTCTGGTGGAGGGATGTGGTCAGTCTGTTCAGTCACAGGGAAATTGGAAAGAAGTAAACCAGTTTTTATGTCATCACTGTGCCAGGTACTTTCATATATTTAATCCCCACTACTTCATGAAAAAATCATTTCTAACCTTGAAGCTAGACATCATTGTGCCAATTTTAGAGATGAGACGATAGGGATTCGGAGAAATTAAATAAAGTCATAAAGCTAGTAAATGGGAAAGGAAGAACTTCCAACAGTGATGAATGATTCCAAACCTGTGCCATATTTTTGTTTATCTCACACTGGCACTTACGAGGACAGGTCCAGAGAAGGGACCTAGATGACTATAAAATCAACAGAGCCAGGAAAAAGCTTCATGCCTCCCCTTACTGATTGATTATAGGCTTGAGAGGGTCATTTGTATACTTGAAAGACAGCAAGGCTGTACTGAGGTGCTCAACAGCAGCCCAGGTGCCTTTTAGGTAATGAACTAGGAAATACAGAACTTCAGAAAGACATCATGCCCTGTGTTCAGGTGACTGACACTCTGAGAGGCAAGATAAAGGGCCAGGCACGTAGTAGGTGCTCAACAAATAGTGACTTGACTTGAAACAAAATGTCTTGAGATGATTCCAAACACACAGTTCAGGTGCTGGAATAGGCCCATGAATTTGAAAAATCCCATTTCCTCCTCCACCCTTTTGCTCAGCCTAAGGGTGTGCAATGAGGAAGTACCTCATTGCCTGACAATGAGGCAGATGTGGGAGAACAGGCTATTTTCTGCCGACTTCTGAGTCACTCTAAGAGTTGTCCTAGCAAATCAGCTCCTCCCTCCTTCCTCTCATTCCCTTTGTAGCTGTTAACCCACCACCACCCATTCTACTCCCACGCTGTAGGGCTCTCTGACCTATTCCGTTTATAGCACCTGGCAGCTCCCCCGACTCCCAGAGCTCCCTCCTGTCCATTCTTCATTGTGGGAGGACCCAGCAAGAATTAGATCATCTTTGCCTAGTAAGATTCAGAATCCTGAGGGTATTCAGATTGCTGTTGTCAACGAAGAGTCTCTGCCACCAACCCAATGCTAACAGGAGTACCCAATCTGGGGTGTGGTGGAGGGTGGAGGCAAGACTTTATTCAGGTAAACAGTTTGCAAACTGGGGAAAATGCAGCCTAGAGGAAGGGGAAAAATTGAAAATACATGCTCCTGACAAAGGGGATGCTGCCTTTTATAAAGTGCCATCCTGATCCTGGATTGGTCTGTTTTTATGCAAATAAGGAATCAAAATTTTTACTGTTTGATTGATGCAAATTGCACTGTCCTGATTGGTCAGAATCACACATTCTGACTGGTTGTTATCTAGCCACTCTGCTTGGTTGGTAAAGATGCAAATGAGGATATAGTTGCTCAGCTTTGATTGGACAGGGCAGGTCTCAGCCCATTGGTTGAAATATGATTTCAATAACTTCTTTATAAGGTTCTGCTCAGACTGCAAGAATGCAGTGCAGGAGGCATGGCTAGCTCAGTCTGTGGCCCTGTATGTGACAGGCCTCTTCAAACAATGGCTGCTGGGCTCTCAATTATGAATTTGGTCCCAGTTAACCACAAGGAGTACTTTTTAAAAAAAAGTATTTTATTGGGGAATTGGGGGAGGGGAACAGCGTTGGGGAATTGGGCGAGGGGAACAAACAAGTTGCTGTCCTTTTGTTCTTTAGTCTAGTTGTGGAGGACGCCGCTTCACTGGCCCATGTTGGTATTATCATTGCGCTCTTCCCGAATGAGGCAGTCGCTCGCCGGCCAATGGACGGCCGCTCATGGCAGCTCACACAGGCTGCCTGCTGCTCACACTGGCTGCCAGCCACTCACGGTAGCTCACGGCAGCCCACTGCAGCTTCACTGCAGCCTATGCCGTTGCCCGTGACTCATGGAAGCCCAGCTTCAGGTTGAGCTCTTGTTCACCATCTTACCTGTAGAGGGCAGTGTCACTGGCCCTCATGTGGGATCTGAACCGGGGCCCTGCTGCTCAGAGCTGGTGTCCCAAGCCAACTCTTAACTAACGCGCCATTCAGCTGGCCCACAAGGAATCCTTTTTGACAGATACATTCCTTCTGGGGTAAACACTTTCAATTCATCACCCTTGGAAGTAGTTAATGAGCAGGGTTGTGAACTTCAGGACACCTTCAGGCTGCAGCTGCAGCCATGAGAGATAGTTCTGATGTTATCATGGTTTAATATATAAAATGTATAAATAAATTTATAGTACAGAGATGTACATAGAAGTCAAAAGTGGGTCCATACTACCTTGTTTGTATAACCCAATGTGGTATTTATATATCTTATCAACTTGCCTGTAAATATTTATTAAATGCCTACTGTGTGTCAGGCAACAACTTAGTAGGAAGTTCTAAAGATTATATAGATTGGGTCAACTTTTCTCCAAACAGGTAAACTTTCTAGGTAGGTGTTCCATAAATGTTTATTGCTGGCTTGGGGAAGCAATGATGGAGTCAAGAGGGCTAGACTGGAATTTAAGACACATGAAGTTGTGCCAGGGTTCTCCCTCTGTCACAAACTGTTCTAGTTTCCTAGGGCTGCCATAACAAATGACCACAAAACAGGCAGCTTAACATGGAAATTTATTCTCTCTTTATCTGGAAGCTAGAAGTGTAAAATCAAGGTGTTGACAATGTTGGTTCCTTCTGGGGGCTCTGGGAGGATTCATTCCCTGTGTCTCTCCCTGCTTCTGGTGGTTCCCGGACAATCCTTGGCCTGTGGCTGCATCACCCTGCCTCTGTCTTCACACGGCTTTCTTTCCCCTGTCTCGATGTCTCCATATGTCTTCTCTTCTTATAAGGAAAACCGTCATATGGGATTTAGAGCTGACACTAATCAGTTAGGACCTCATATTAACTCATTACATCTGCAAAGACCCTATTTCCAAACAAGTTCATATCTTGAGGTTCCAGGTGGACAGGCATTTTGAGAGGAGGAAACATTCAAACTGGTATGCAAACCCACTTCTCGGAATAATAACCCCACTTAACTCCATCTGACTTCATTGGTAAATAACATAAAAGTAATGAACTAATTCCCAAAGCTCATTTCAGTTCTATGGTTATATGATAATTATATATGCTAGAAGGCATTTATCAAGCTTTTACTATGTCACAGGTAATATAAAATTGCTTTACAGTACATCTGATTTAACCCTTAAAAGAATCCCAGGAGGTAGACGTAAATATCCTCATTTTATAGATAAGGAAATTGAGGCACAAAAAGGTCTATGGTCATAGAATTCATAGTGATGAACATAAAATATTTACTCAGATCTGATACCAATTACTATGTGCTATCATCTATCATGCTAGATGGCTTAGGAAGATAGGGCTTGCTACCAATATTTTAAAATTTGTTTTATGGAATACTTGGAGCTGAGCAGCAATCTTCCTGGGGTTAGGTGTGTTGTTTGGGCCAATTTTAAAACAAGGGAAAGCAAGAGAGGAGAGAATGGTGGATGGCAATGAAAATTTAGTAGGGAAGCGGAGAACGAGGGGCACTTAGCTGAGCCTCTGTTTCCTTATTTGTGAAATGAGATAATAGTCTCAGCCCACAACACCTGGTGGTTGTGACTTTCCAAGTGAGATGATGGACTTATGTGTTTAGTTAACTCTATGAGGGGTTATTATAAACTACCTGGGATGTTTTGCTCAAACTCTCCTCTTTGGGTCCCAGTCCTGCAGCTAAATAAACATCTGGGAGTTGTCGCCGTCTAGAAGCCTGAGAAGGCTCTCTAGTCAGGGAACAGGCTGAAGCGGGGTGGAAGGTGGGCTCTCCACGGCTCCCAGCATTTTCTCCCGCCATTTGTTTCCGCAAAGGCCTTTCTGAGATTCCTTAAGCGTTCTCTT